GAAGAAAAAAAAGCCTTTTTCTTTTGGGAGGCTTGTGTTATATACAGAGTTTCTGATATTTTTTTTCCCCTAGTGATAAAGTGCAAATGGTTTGTATTAAAAATTTAGCAGAGAGGGCAATCTTAAGATTATTCTCTCATCCCTGAAGGCAAATGCTGTAGCCATTATAATCTGGCATAATTTTGGTTCAAGTCAGTAGAGTTCCAGAAGAATTATGATCTTTAGGGACTTTTGTGTTTTGCTGGATTTTGTTTGTTTGTTTGCTTTTTTTTTTTCTCACATGCAAATATATGTATGTAAGATTTTTCTTGTCTCTATAGTAAGGATTTATAAATTAGGGTGGATTTGTGTATATTTTCCCTAAGTGCAAAATTGCTGATTGTGTATTTAAATACACCAAACTCAGAGTGCTCTTGCTCTTGGCCCAAGCAGTATTTGCACAAGATCTCAGTAAGATGATTCACTCACAGATGCCCAAACAGATTTTCTGCAACAGTTTGTAACTTTATCAATCCATTATGAAACCAATATTTGTTACAGAGAGAAGGCAACCCTCCCTCTTATTCACTGTGCAAAAGCTTGTGTCTTCCATAGGGTTCCAGTGTATGTTTGTCCAGTAGTTCGCCAAAAGTAAAAACAGACACAACAGTTTTAAGTCACTCCTATATGAATATAAGAAAGGCTTTACTTGACTGGGACAAAGTGTGACTAGTGTTGTGTCCTGCCTCACGTGATGGCCATGAAATCATGCCAGGGAAGGCATGGGATCCCCTCGGCAAAGTTCAGAATATTTTTCCTCACATATGTCCCTTTACGTTATGCACACTGACTGTCACCTGTCATTTTGTTGTCCAATAACTCACATTTGTGGAGTCTGCAGCTCTTTGTAAGAGGAGCTTCTCTTGTCCTTGATATCTGGAATAATTACCAGTCATTTATATTCCTCTTTCCAGATGCCTGCATGACTACCAGAGGAATTCCTTGACTTTGTTCCATTGGAAGAACTAACAAACAGTCCCATGTTCCAACTCTCTTTTCTAGCTTTTAAACAGATTTTTTTTCTTTTTATGAATATATAGACTCATTTTTCTTGTAAGACCTGGGTGCTTGTTCTCCTTAAAAACTTGTGAAAAGATGCTGCATTCTTCCAGACATACTCTCTTCCTCTCCTTGCCTCTTCTCAGGATCTGTGGAACAAAGAGGGGACATAATGGCCCCTGCCCAAAGGATTTGTAAAGTTACTTTGCAAACTTCAGGTAGAGACTATAACCTGAAAGAAACTGTGAGTGACTACCTTCTTCATGCAACCAACACTCTTGTCAGTCACAAAGAACAATGTTCTGTTGTAGAAAATGTGTTAGCTGATCTAATCATTGGAGTGCTTGAACTGATGAAAACTTTACCTCAGCCTGCTGAGAAAGGAGTGCTTCTGGTAAAGGGTGCGTGTGGCCTCCCCACCCCCAGAATAATGCTTGGTTTTTCCTTGCAGAGCGTGGGGCCTTCATGACTCTTGCCTCCTTCTGCTGAATACAGCAAATATCTTGGAAGTTTTAAATAACAACCTTGTTGTGTGAACTGTTGTCAGTGGGGAACCCGGAGTTATCATGAGTAACACAAATATTTTCAGTAAAATACTTCTTTGAATCAAGTTCTTAGTCTTGTTCCAGTCATTCCTCATAAGCAGAGGAGGCAATCAGCTTATTCCATAGTACTTTCTCCGCATCATAGAAATAAACTTTTGTTTGTGCTAGATACATGTGCAAGAAGTGATACACAGCAATATTCTTTGATGAACTTCGATCATATTTCTTTCCTTGATTGTTAGTCAAGATGCCTTCTTAACTATGCAAGTTGTATGCAAGTTTCCTGCCTTTTTTTCAGACTTTATTTTGAAAAACTTTCCTATCGAAGATGTTTATATTAAAATCGAGACTTACAATTTTTATTCTGCGTACCTGAATACTGAAAAGATGCATTAAAATGACGTGATTGTGTTTGTTTTTTATCAAAATACAAAATGCTTATTTTATGAGACTGAGTATTTTCAGAAGAAACAGTTTAAAAAAATCAGCTAAACCATGGTCTTGATGCAAAACAAATGCTTATTTGCTAGTCCAACAGACATAATGAAAGATGAGATTTGATATAAATTTTTTCCTATAGTTCATAAATATTTACTGTCGTCACTTCAGAAGCACTAATAGTGTGTATGCAGAAAGCCGTGTTTCTTAATTTCTGTATAAATCACAGTGATCGGGAAGCTGAGCTGTGTAGCAGATTGAATGATAGTGCTAAAGTTATGTGTATATGCCCACTCACATACATACAATTTGAAAAACTAATAATGCGTCACAGATGCTCTGCTATTCTCTTGTAGTGAATTAGTTTGGAAAATGAGCCATATTTATTTTAAAAGGTGGTTAGGATTCATTGAGATTCTTTTCAGAGTTATGTTATGATACTTCATACTTTGCTTACCCAGGAGTTGACCACGTCTTCCAAAAACAAACTTTTGGACAAACCATGTGATGCTCGATCCTGGTGTTGGAGTGCAATGTGCATACTTGTGGTAGATAGGGCAGTGAGATGAGTTTTTAAAACAACTTCTGAAACTAAAAGCCTTTTATAATTCAGTTCTGATTGAATGTTTTCATTTTCTTGGTCTAAGTAGGCATTTAGAGCATGCTTATCACCATAGTAACTATGTGTCTTTCAATCTACATTGTGAGACTTAAAATTATTGCAAGTCTTGCTTGAATGAAGCTTGAGTTATCTCACTTAAAGGTTGTAGTAGAGGACTGTAACAGTGCCTTTCTCCTTCCCTTGAATTTCTGCTGAATGAGAGTAAATCCAGTGCTTGTATATGCTTGTGTTTGTTCTCATTTAATATCTCGGTTAACAGCTAATATGAAACAGAAATGATTTTTTTATATTAAAAAAAAAGCTCTATGTACAGTGTATCTTTAAATACACTTGTTAAAATAGTCTGTCCCAGTCTAAAAACACTACAGCAGGGTTAATACTGTATACACCCCCATGTTTATACCTAGGTTTGCATCTACAAAACCCAGGTGCCTCTGTGCTCCAAAGGACACTGCCATGTTTGGTCTCATTTCAGGTAACATAAGGACATACAATGGCATTCCATAAAAGACAAAACTATTCATTTGTCAATTATATTAATTTAATAAAAAATTTTAAGCATATAAAAAACACTTCTCATGCAGAAGTCTACAAATAGCCCAGGGCTGCAACTGGCAAACAAAACAACAGAAATATGACAAAAAAATATATATATATATATATATTTTTTTGTCATATTTCTGTTGTTTTGTTTGCCAGTTGCAGCCCTGGGCTATTTGTAGACTTCTGCATGAGAAGTGTTTTTTATATGCTTAAAATTTTTTATTAAATTAATATAATTGACAAATGAATAGTTTTGTCTTTTATGGAATGCCATTGTATGTCCTTATGTTACCTGAAATGAGACCAAACATGGCAGTGTCCTTTGGAGCACAGAGGCACCTGGGTTTTGTAGATGCAAACCTAGGTATAAACATGGGGGTGTATACAGTATTAACCCTGCTGTAGTGAACCTTCCTGTAGTGTATTGAGCCTGCTCTGTGCTGATTCTGCATCTGGCTTGTGTGTTACTTGTGCACAAGAGGCAGCCAGGTGTTTCAGAAAGGGTCAATCAGTGTTGAACATCCTTCCTTTTGGCATGGACCACGTTCATTCTAAACATTGACAATATCTGCAGCCAAATCTCTCTAGGTAAAATTTCATGTCTTCTGTTTCTTGCTAGTGTTTCTCCTGCTTTGGAAATAGCTTTTAGTTCTGGAATGTTTTATGTTTGCTTGATCTCCAGCATTGTGTTTGGCTCAGAGGGGCTCTTCCGGCCAAGCTGAGGTCTTGATGGGGAAAGCAGAATGTGTGTTGACATCACTTTGGGTTACTAACTGGAGTAAATAATGGCTAATGGGGCAGGAGAGAGCAAATTACACACCTCACTGGCTGCCTGGAGCATCTGTGGAATTTGCACTTAGATCCCAGAAAATAATTGCTGCCATGTGGTTATAGTCATTTCTCTAAGTGGGACAGAGGTGGAAGAGGGCAGGAGGAAGTCTAAGTAGGGAAGAGGAACGAATGATTTGTTGCAGACCTTTGCTGCAAACTAAGTTATTTTATGTTTAAAAAAAAGCATCAAAGAATGTAATATTTCTTGTATAAATAGTATTTTGTTGTTATCACATATCTGTTGCAATTATGTTGAAAAGGTTGTGGAATCTCCTTCTCTAGAGATCTTCAAAATCCGCTTGGATGCAACCGGTGCCACGTGCTCTAGGTGATCCTGCATGTGCAGGGGGTTGGACTAGATGACCTCTAGAGGTCCCTTCCAACCTTAATGATTGTATGATTCTATGATTATGTTGGAGGTTGCATTAAAAAAAAAATTGGGGGGAGTGTGAGGAGAGGGGGGATACTGGCTCTGGTAGAATGGTGAAGGCATGAGCTAGATTCAGTGGAGTGGAAGTCACCTTCTGCATCCTCCTTGTGAAGATGTGGTGGCACTACCTGATTTGAAAGTGATTTAAGCCATAAACAGGAGAGCCCTGTGCTGGTATCTGAGAAAACGTGTTAAAATAAAGAACTGTAGATGCCTCACTACAATCACCCTCTGTGTTCAATGGTAGAAGCCACTAAGGAAATTATATAATGGCACATCCTGTATGTGACAACTTAAGAACAAGAACTTATAATGTATTGTGAGATCCGGGACTATATTAAAAATATAGTTTCAACTTCAATCCTCATTTCACAACTGATCCTTTAAATCACATCCTCCAACACTGGGAATGGTTTGGCCTGTGTTTAAAAGTTCAGTTCCTTGGCTTGTTGTGTATCTAGTTTATTTTAAAGATTTTCTAAGCATTTTAAAAGATTTTCTAAGCTTTTTTTTCTTTCTTTCTTTTTCTTTTTTTTCTTGTTCTAATTTGCAGCACTACTTTACTGTTCTTTTTGGCCATGAAGGGCAGAAGCCACTGGAGCTCCGCTGTGAGGACGAAGTTGATGGAGATGAATGGGTGGAAGCTATTCACCAAGCTAGGTATGCACTATGGTCATTTATGCTCAGCTCCATTTTATTGTTAATAATAATTTGAAAGTCTAAATTCACTCTCTAACAAGTAACATACTTGTACAATGCATTAGGTAGATACTGTTTGTAATCCAGAGATCTGCCATTGAAAAAATGCCTTTATCAGTTCTGTTTGTAACACTGTTTTACCATTCACAAATGATTATGTTCTCCTGAAATTTCTTCAAGAAACTGTTACTGGAAACAGAACTGCTAGGATTAGTCTCTTTTAAAGGAAGAATGTGTTAAAAGAAATAAATCACCTGCCACTAAAATGAGTAAGTGGATGTTTCTTTGTATAGAAATGAATATAAGAAGGAGGTAAAACCATAATTATGATAAAATGCCACAAATTAAATTCTATCTCTAAACTGTTTTTCTGAGTAATATTTGATATTAAAACGGTAAATATTGTAAATAAGGGCATGATAGGACTTCAGCAGTGTAGTACTCCTTCATGAAGGAAAGGTTGAAGTGCTGGGTAGGGGTAGGCTTACAGTATAATGTCAACAGAAATCATATAGCCCAAGCTTTGGAAAAGACGTAGCAGAGGCAAATGTCTTGCCTGAAATGTGGTTCCTCCAGCCTCCTCTCCTGTCTCTAACCTCAGCTCATCTGCACTGCCATGGTAACGTGCAAGGAAAGAGGCAGTTTCTGAGTTGCCTAGGACCTGAGCCATGTTAACAGAAGTGATTTTGCCTTATAATTAAAAGCGAGCAATACCAGCTAGTAGTTTTTACTTTAGATTCTCTGAAATTGCGCCTTGAAGCTCTAAACCTTCTGTTCCTGAGATTTGGTCTTTGTATTCCTACCTTCTTCTGGGTAAAGGTGTCTAGAGCAGGTCACATCTTCTTTTGGGAAACTGGTTGCATCCTTTCTTGTGTTCTGGTATTAGATCAGCCACATTTTGTGGCTCTCATTTCGTGAGATGGATAATTAGTTACTTAAATGTTGGGTCTTTTATTAAAGATAGATCAAAGAAATGAAAATAATAGTTTTGGACTATTGCATAAGATTTTTCTTACGACTCAGTAAAACTTCAGTTTTGTCCCAGAGACTAAATTTTGCCTGTACCCCCAATTTGGACTTTTGTTGACTGAGTTGGTCTGTATTCTTGGTGTATTGTTGAAATTTTAAGAACTTTGGTGTCATTGTTCATTTGAGGCATAATGCAACCCTGACCCTGCTCTCAGGTTTTTGGGTTCTCTTACTAAGTGGCTATTTGTCTAGTATTTTAAAGATACTTTTTTTCACATCTCAGATACCTTTGAGTAAAAAAATTCCAGAGGATGTTGGGAGCATTCCCCCAGTGCTTAAATTGGAAATAGTCCTGAGAACATCTTGTTCTGTGTGAATATGTTGGAGTTCGTGAAGCGTAATGCTTTCTGGAGGATCTCATCTTTATGAGTAGCTCTGGTAATCTATGTTTTATCTGAGACAAAGTAGTTGAGGGTGGCTTCTCTTTGAGGGTTTGGAGGGGAGGTAGTTGTTGTCTTTTGTTTTTGCCAATTGGCATATCCAATATATATATATATATATATTCTTTTGCCAAAGATGTGTTTAAAACCATCAAAATCTATTCCATGTTCTATTTAATCTGAAAATTACATATTTGAAAATCAACCTCTGGATTCCCACTGGGGATTGTGTCCCATTCTAGTAAATAGATGTTTTATTTGGCTGCAGGTTCATAGTTAGAGCATTTCTGTTGTAGCCTTGTCCGTGCCTCCCCAGAAGATTTCACCGCGGATGGGATGCTGCTGCTAGTCATGTGGAAGTGCTGTGCGTGCTCTTGGGGAGCCCACAGGCTCTTGTTTGCTGAATCAGTGACTGCATTCCCCTCCATCAGGACCCCTCCTCTCCACTGGAGACTTTGTTTGGCTCTCAGTTTGCTCTGGGATTTGTAATTCAATATATTCTTGTGAGACTGCATTATGAGCTTCGCACATCTCCCTACTTTGCAGGCTTTCCCATGTTGAATTCTCCGTGTTTTGAATTCTCAGTAATATCCAGAGCGGCAGAATAAGACTTAGTTCTTAGGCCTTTTTGGATTAGTAGGCTCGCTCTTGGCAAATCCAAATTCCTCAGTCAGTGGCTGGAGATGCAGCTTTGGACTTTTGTTCCAGACTCCGTCTCAAGAACTCTGTTTCACTCCCAATATCCTGAGGCTAACTTTTCACCTTCTCTTACAAATCATTCTGTGGTTTCATGATTATTTTTTGGAAACAATTGAAAAAATCTGTATCTGTTTCAGATTTTTTACACTGGTGCAGTACTAAATAAATACCTTAGCCTTCTCTTTTTTACTTTTACTTACTGGAAAGTCTTAAGTGGCTCCATCTTGTAATTTCATGTATGCTTTAGATCTGCATGATCCAACATTGCTGCTGAAAGAAAAAGCTGCCATTCTCTTAAGTCAGCCATTTATTCCCACACCTTTACCACCCCTTTCCACAGGCCGGCACAAGTGTGAACCTAACTGGGAAATTGAATTGCCTTAAAATGTTTTATATTTTGTTCATTTTTGTCGTTTCATTTAATGCATCTCGGTTCTCCGGGTCTTTTCACTGCACATCCACGCTGCACAGGGGAAGGGTAACACATGGTGGGATGTGGGAGAGCACTGTGTGAGAGAGAAAGATGGGAGTGCAGCACTCAGCTGTCCAAAGCATATGTGAAACTACTGCCCTCTAACTTTGCAAAAAGCAGCTTGCCCTTCAGTTTGGGGAAATGTAGGGAATTTTCTTACACGAAAATCTTTCATGTAAAATTTTAGTAGGCAGTTACAAAGCCAATATGTTATCTTGGGGCTGCTTGGGAGCTGGGAGCAAGCGCCCTGCTGCTGAGGACTTGCTAATAAAGAGAATATGTGCTAGAGTAGCCACAATTTTGTGGTTTCCAGTTGGCTAGGAATAGGCCCAAGAGAACTTGATTAATACTCATATCGTGAAAAAAGCAAGCCTTTATCTGCCATCAAAATCATGTTCAACTTAGGTACATCTTGGTACAAAGCACTGGGGTTGCTGAATCTGTTAGCCCGGTAGCAGTGAGGTCGCTTCTCCCTTCACACAGGTCAAACCAGGAATGGGATGTGTAGTCCTGACAGACACATGAGCAAGCAGATATATTCAACTTGTGTACCTGTACACAAAGAACTGGCCATGGTATTAATCTGTTTGGACAAAATTGCTCAGTACTTGCTCAGACACAAACAGCATCATTGGCATTGACCTTTCCCCTCAGGATGAAGGTCAGTTAATTCCAAATGCATATGTTCAATGTTAGTCACACCAGTAAATGGCCTAGGCTGTCTAGACTCTGGCTTCTTGATCTTCAAGGTTGCCTAATGCACAGAGCCACGCAAGCCCCTGGGGCACACGGCCTTGCTGCAGGTGCTGGTGCTCGGACATCCCTTGAAAATTAATGATCTCCTTTATTTGAAAATGGGTGCCATTCTTCTAATATGGTGCTCCTCACTGGTCTGATTGTGGCATATAACTGCACTGGAGATACTGTCCCTTTTAAGGGAAATATATTTGAATGACAAGCTGCTAGGAAAAAGCTTAAAAAAAAGGGCTACTAACAGTTTCTGTTATTAAGTATAAGATACAATTTATTGGAGCAATCTCAAACTGCCCTAAATGCCAAAATAAGTAATAGCAAACCAAAATACAAAAAAGACAGTGTTGAGAGTTAGAATGGGGTTTCTTGCATAAAGAGATCTGACAGCTAAAGAGTTAGAAATAGTTTTGGTTAAGAGTCAGATGTTGGTAAACAGAAAGGGGAAATGCAGCTCTTAATGAAATGTAAATAAAATTGAATGAATAAAGTTTTTGGCTTAGCCTGGGAATGTATAAAATAAAAACAGTGATCTGGGATGGAGCAACTCTTTTGACTAAAAAGAGAATATTGACAACTTTATAGGTTTGGATGGTTTATGAAAAAGCTATTTATCATATATTAAAGAAAACACAATTTTGAACATTTCTTTTACTTGTCATTGACATAATGTTTATTCTGTCAATATTTGATAAGTCATTTGCTATTTTTACTAGCTTAACTGTTTTTCATTTCAGTTACTCAGATATTCTGATTGAAAGGGAGGTGTTAATGCAGAAGTACATTCATCTTGTCCAAATTGTGGAGACTGAAAAGATTGCAGCCAATCAACTTCGACATCAACTTGAAGATCAAGACACAGAAATTGAAAGACTTAAATCAGAGGTATGTGCTAGAGTCATCGAGCAGTTGCATTTTAATGTTTTTCTGTGTATATTGCAGTTGTTGCCTATATTGCTGTAATATTTGAGGAAAATAACAGCACCCGTTCAGAAAAGCTGTAAGATTTCTCCCAGGAACATTTGGCCAGATGGTTTTCTTAAAAGTATTGGTGACTGTTCAGTTTACTGGATTACATCACTGCGAGAGAATTGAGATGACATATTGCTTTGCAGTGTGGATACAGTTATTTCCTACCTGTCTTCACACACAGATTTTAAAGCATTTGTTTGGCCCCTGATACAATCCTTGGTATTGTAGAGTATTTCACTGAAAGTTAAATATTTTGTTGCATTTCTGACCTGTTAGGGTCTGAAAGGCACAGTTGGCTTTGAAAGGAGAACCAGCTCTCTTCTTGTTCTTCATCCAAATTAAGATATTTATTGGTTTGGAGAAAACTCTGCCTCTGCGACCAAATACATGCTTATCATTCCATGCAGTTTAGTGGGCTCTAAGAACAGCTCTCAAAGAAGGAGGTGTTTTTTTCTGTTTGTTCTGTAACTGTTTCAACTTGGAAGGGCATTTAATGGTTTGTTATTTTTGTCAGATCGTAGCTCTCAATAAAACAAAAGAACGAATGCGACCTTATCAAGGCAATCAGGAAGATGAGGATCCAGATATTAAAAAGATTAAAAAGGTAAAGCTGCTATATTCTGTGCATTAAAGGGGAAAGCTGGGACAGGCAATGTACTAGTATGTTTTAATTGGTCGAATTTTGTCTTCAATCATTTTTCTGTTAAGTACACTGGAATATCAAATTCTTTTTGCCTTATACCTGCTTAAACCACTAAAATTGCATCAGACCTATTTATTCTATAGTATATTTGGTATTTAAACAGTCATCTTTACTTGCAATGTATATATATTCACCTTTTTTTAATGCAGCTTGCATATTGCCTTCAATTGCTTGTAAACGTTGAAACTAAGCCATGAATTATTTGCTGTCAGAACCAAGGGTATAATGACTTTATTCTCTTTCTTATAAAAAAATTTTTAAAAGCTTAAGAGAGTGACATGTCCTGACAGTGCAGCTGGAATGCAAATATTGAAAATGCAGAGAGTAGTAGTATTTTAGATTGTCCTTTAGTCTGTTTGATAATGATTGTTCTAGGATTATGTGGCCAATGTTGAAATAATAGGGGAAGAGTCTAATCTGCACTGTGTTACATGTGCAACTTTGGGAAATATTGCTTTGGGCTGGAGCTAACTACCTTCCAGAACCCAGAATTGTGCCCACAGCTAGCTCCTACAGATCCTAACGAATAGTCATAAATGGAAGTCCTGCTTGAAGAGGTGCTCTTGTCCTCATAGTGCTGAAGCTCTTCAATTTTATGGTAGCCTCTGTGTTATGTGAATTGAGTTTCACTTACCTTACCTGGGTGTCACTGGGCCCATTTTCATAATGGTTTGTTTAGAATCACGTTCCCCGTGGGATTTTTCATGTCTCTTTCAAGATGAATGATTTGTACATCATTGTCCCGATCTTGTGTCGGGGGAGGTTTCGATACGATCCCAAGAACGAGATTAAGATACAAACAAGGTCAAATGCCGTACAGCCTTGTAAGCTTTATTCTCATAAGCGCAATAGGACAGAGAGAAAAAGAAAAAGGAAAAAAGAAAGATAAGCAAGCAAGCGAGAGAGAGAGAGATACAGCAGGATTATAGTTACCACCACCACGAGTCCAGCGAAGTGTCGTTGGCTCTGCTTCGGGGCAGGCACAGGTGCCTCGGTGCAGGTGATGTCCCGCACGCACCTTGGTGCAGGTGATGCTCCACACACCTCGATGCAGGCGGTGTCCCAAGAAAGAAGCCGTGCACCTCAGCAGAAACCGCACACACCTGGGAAGAAGCCGCCAAGCGCCCCCCACTCCAGGGGGCGGGATACACAGTCCTTTTATGTCCCTGCTCTTGCAGAGTCTGCCGCCCTTCTCTGCGTGCTCTGCTGCTCCTCTTCCCCCAACTCAAGTGCCAGCGCCGCTCCATAGACACTGCTGGGCATTGTTTGGGCCTCGTGCTAATCTCACAGTCCTCCCAGAGGTGGGGTGCCAAGGTCAAGAAGCAGATAATTGTGGGGAGACGAAACACCTGGAGCTGACATCATAGTCTTCCCAGAGCCAAGGCCAAAGAGTCATTAATTGTATGGAGATAAGACACCTCGAGCTGATAGACGCGATGCTTAGGTCAAGAAGTCCTAAATGTTATGGCAACAATGTCAAGACAAAAGACAATTCAAAAAAGTCTCTTAAACTGTTCTACTAGATGTACTGGTAGAGTAGACGTACTCTAGTTTTCTGTGGCCAGAACTAGACCTCTTCTGTAATCTTCAACCCAGGTTTAACTTGAATGGATATTACGCTTGAGTACATTTACTATTACTTAGAGATACCTTTTAAAAAGAGCAAAAATATGTCTTTTCTGAAAAATAGCACCCCTGGCCCAGGTGTCTGACACTAGGCAGTGGAGCTCTAAGTATGCAGGCTAAATGATATCTGCAAAGAACAGAAAGCAAGCAGAGTTTAACAGCTATTTCAGAGTTACATCAGCACCAATATGAAAACACCATGAGATGTCATATTGGCACAATAAGTTTGAGGCGGGGATAGAAGATGAGAAATGTTTAATGGGAAGTGTAAGGAGTTTAAAAAAAATGCATTGTGTGCACAGTGGTTGTATTGAAAGGGAAAATAAATGCAAAGATACCGCATTTGAGCTTGCAACAGGAGGGGCCTTGATATGTGTATTTTTCTAGCATCTTTTCTGACAGTAGATACTAGCAAATGCTTGGGGAGCTACTGTTAATTAAAAATCTGAAAAAAAAGCAGGCAGTAAGCATACTGGTCAACAAGCTTATTTATTTTTAATAAACACATTTTATTTAAAAGATCATTTTCTCAGTGGAAAGCTTGTCATAAGTCATGTATTTTTTTTTTTTCTCATTCTTCATTTCTATTTGGTCATTTTAGGTTCAGAGCTTTATGCGAGGCTGGTTATGCAGAAGAAAATGGAAGACTATTGTCCAAGATTATATTTGTTCTCCTCATGCAGAAAGTATGAGAAAAAGGAACCAGATAGTTTTTAACATGGTTGAGGCTGAATCTGAATATGTGCATCAGCTTTATGTTCTTGTGAACTGTTTTCTGAGGCCCTTAAGAATGGCTGCAAGTTCAAAGAAGCCACCTATCCGTCATGATGATGTTAGTAGCATTTTCCTTAACAGGTATCTGACTTTTTGTCTACTTTTTTTCATTTTTCCTTTTTCCATGCCTGTTCTCATTCTGCTTTAGTTTAGTAAAGTTTGGCACCTGCTTTTTTGTTCTGACATAAATGATATCAGTGAGGCAAGCCATGTTTCCTTGGATAAAAGGTGAGGTGCAGTCTGTGATGCTGTTCAAAGCCAATTTTTGCATCTTTACATTCTACTTCCCTTATTGCAGGAAGGAAGGACAAATCATGCCTAATAAGGCATTGTTCTCAATTTTCTTATCACCTTTTCTATTTCCTCTTCTCTTAGGAGAGCAAAAATAGACGTAGTGGCCTCATGATCTTGATAAGAACCTGTGATGAATATGTTAAATTTGCTTCTTATATCTGCCTAAAGAACCTCCTTCTCTCACCTTTATTTTCACATCTTTACAAATAAAGACAGTTCTTTGCATTATACACCCAAATTCTATAAAAAATGAACATGACTTGCAGAATTCTATGTAGGATTGGAATTGCATCCATGACTGCCCTCAAATTCTAGGAAAAATACCTTGCTTTAATTATGAAACTCTCATAACTCATTTAAGATCACTCTACTCTTGATGGTTTCATTTACAGCTAGATGTCTCAAATGCTGTTTCTGTTGACTTCATGAGATATTAAGTTTTGTGTTCTAGCAGAATTAAGCTGCATTCAAATCTTCAAGAGTGGCAAGTGAGAAGAGAGATGAACAACTATCGACTGAGGTTTCAGGATCTCATTAATCCTCTTAAGCAAGTGAATGTGTGGTCAATGATATTTTTGGAACACGTTTGTACTGTGAAACATACTATTTAATAGATTATTTTAGTTAAAAGAATTGAGTGGTCAGAAAATGTTTGAACATCAAATGTTGTATGTTTTCTAAGTTCCTATACAAAAAAATTAAATGATACAGTCAACTAGAAGCATTGATTTCCATAATAAGAAGTATTTTCTGATTTATTTTGTATCAAAGTGCGAAATATACTAATGAAGAGATGTTTCTTTGTGAATTATTAAGTAGAAAATAGAATGAGTTGTCTTTTTGTTTCTTTAAATACTTATTTTTCAGTGAAACAATCATGTTTCTTCATGAAATATTTCACCAAGGTTTAAAAGCAAGAATAGCTATTTGGCCTACCTTAATTTTAGGTAAGTTAATATATTTTCTTTACTTTCATATTTATTTTTGCAGTTAGAGTGATTTTTAGTTTTTAAGGACTTCTTTTTGAATGGAACTCATTGCCAGCGTTACCACTGTGTCACAATGTATAGTAAGGGACTACATGTTGGCAATAACATAAAAATCCCTATATGAAATAGGGAAGCAAATCCCTATTGCTTCTGCCCTAAGCTTCAGGTAGGCATGAGTCCTGAATTTTCAGTGGTATAATCTGTCTGCTACCTAATCAAAATAACAGTGTTTTATTAAGTAAAAGAACTAAGCTTAATGTTTCTAATATCTCAGTATAATGGAAACAGAACAGATTATATTAATTTACTTCCATAGAGTGTAACAGATTTTTTTAAAAGAGAGATTTCAAGAGATGAGTAGCTGGAAAAAAATAGCATTTTTTGACCTTTTCTAGCTGACTTATTTGACATTCTGCTGCCAATGCTGAACATATATCAAGAATTTGTTCGGAATCATCAGTATAGTCTTCAAGTACTGGCAAACTGTAAGCAAAACAGAGATTTTGACAAACTCTTGAAGCAATATGAAGCCAACCCAGCATGTGAGGGATGAATGTCGGATACTTTCCTTACTTACCCCATGTTTCAGGTAGTCTCTGTAATTTTTTTGTGTGTATGACTGATTATTTTTAATGTTCAGTTGAATTGTTTTGTGTTACTGAAATTGCAATTTGTTGGAGATGCTGCTTGCTTAATTAAAAATACTCTCATGGGAATTAACTTTTTTTTTCTTTTATTTCATTATTATCCTGAAACTCTGTGCCTGTGGACACCTTTTCTCCAGCTACACTGATTCAGCTCTATTCAGAACCTCGCATATGTTCAAGAGGAATGAGGACTCGTGCCAAAACAAAAAACAAACAAACAACAAAAAAGGAAGAAAAGCTTAAAAACAAATTGTCTACTTCTGCTCTGCTCCAGGCACATGAAGCAATCCAGAGGAATAATGTACCTGATGTAGCAACTTAGAGCAGCTACGAGCATTTTGCTGGGCATGCGCTTTGGAGTGTTTTTCCTGCCCTGTTCTCCAGTGACCTGGTTTGAGGGATCTAGAAATAAAAATTTTATTGAAAGAGATTTTTAAAAAATTATTATCCTTTTGGTATTTTGCCTTGATTCTATTGGCTTGATTCTTTTCAACTCTTTTAACAGGCCTTTGAATCACTGGCCTGATGATTTTGTAGCTTTTACATTTGGCATAGTAATTTACGTAAAGGGACAATGGTGACCTCCTCAGTTTGTCCACTTAATGGCAAACCACCTGTATGGTAATTGGCAAACCAATACAAAAGGGCTTATTGTCACTTCTGTTTGTGCTAATTAGCCATATTAACCATTGCTGTCTGTAGTAATACATTTGCTCAGCTTTCAGCTTGTGTTTGGTAACATTTTTGGATATTTTGATTGAGCTGAAACAAGATCATAGGATCTTTAGAAGGTGGAAAGTCCTGTTCATATACAGTGAATCTTTTTATTGCTGTTGATTTTTGACTTCAGCATGTCCCCATTTCCTAAATAGCTTTGATTCTACAGATAAGTTATTTTATAGAATACTGCAGTATCATATGCTTCTGCTCAAGAGCTGTGAGATTGCTTTGAGTGGCAATAAATGGAGCAGGGTCTTTTTTTCTTTCTTTAATGTCCAGAAGTACAATGTGAGTTTTGTTTATATGCAAACAAATCAGCTCGCATTTTCAAAGTCTCAAGAAATCTAGATGCATTTCTGCTGTTAGAATTGAGAAAAGGTATATTTTGATCTCCAATAAATTCATGAAAATTTTCTCTACTGACACTTAGATAGCATCATGAAACAGTGAAAGTTAGCACATAATTGTGACTGCCTCGATCTGATCTTTTTCTTAAAATGTGATAAATATTTCCTCAAACTGAAAACATGTCCATGCAGTCTCTATCACAGAAATGTTCAATATTTTTGACATTGGTTATATCTAGAATATATTTGTCAACTTAACTGTTGTTATATATTGAAAAAAAGACTCCGTGAGTCTTTTCTGACCAGGATAAAAGAAAATGAGAGATCCTGCATTTATTCCTTAAAATTATTTGCTAATGCTGTCTCTAATTTGTTTTAAGATCCCTAGGTATATTATAACACTTCATGAACTTCTGGCTCACACACCACATGAACATGTTCAGCGAAAAAGCCTAGAATTTGCTAAATCTAAACTAGAAGAACTTTCAAGGTAAGATTTTTTTTTCATAAATATATCAGTGTCTTTCCTGTATCCCCCTGTATTTTGGGCATGGGAAGAGGTACTATAGAAACCACCTACCCCTGGGTATGAACAAAGCAATTTTCTTTAAATAGAAAATTATTTTTTCTTCCATAGCTTAAAAAAGGAAACAAAAAAGGTATTTCCCACGACAACAGGAAGCAGTCAGGGTCTTGAACAGTACTCAGTTGTTAATCTGTGATGTGGTTCATATGCATAAATTAAATAATTGATTTTTACATATACTTTAAATAACGATAAATACATAGGAGCTAAAGATCCTGGTAACCCCATACAGTACACTGTGCATATTTTCTAAATTGGTGCTACCTGTAGAAACCTGCAGAATGGATCTCTTCCCTGTACTTCCAGACCCTTCTCAGACTTTCTCTTTGTCAGTCCAGGAATAAATTTGTTTGCTCTCTCTGAAAAACAAGACTTTCTGCTGTGAACAAAGTGCTGCATGAACTGCATGAAATTACGATGTTTGTCTCAGATTTTTGAAGTTTGGATACTTCACCAAATAAGTGCTTGTGAAATACGTTGTTGTGAGAGTGTTTGTTTTATACTTTTTGTTAATTGGAAGTTCTTGACTGCTACATTTCCTTTTGCTGTTCAGTTGACGTAGCTATGGGTACTACCTAGTGATTTGGAGTTTATTATTTTTCCCTTTTTTGTCCTGCTGCACCTCTTCCATAGGCTGCTTTCTGAGTCATATGCAGGTCATGATATGCCACTTCTTCAAGCTCTTATCTTCTCAAAGAGTTGGCAGGTGGTACCTCTTAGAGATGTGTGTCTCTGATTCCTGCAGTGTCTGGCAAGTTCTTTCCTCCTCTGAGGCCATTTGAAGTAGAGAAGAATTCTCCTTTCCACTCAGGCAAAGCACATGATTTCTTTTGGCTAGGAGTATGTGCACAGCCCCATCAAGCAGTTTTGGCTCTGCTCTATCTCATCAGTCAGAGTTCATTAATGATCTGAATCTATCAGTGAACATCCAGAATTGGAGGCTCAGATTGATTGATCCTCTTCTGCTCACAAGACAGATGGTGTAGACCATGAGATTAAAAACTTTGTGTTTTATTTTCATGTCTTTAATGTAGTTCTGAGGGAAGAGGAACATTCAGATACTGCAGTCTGGCACCAGTTCAGGAAAATACAGATCATGACACCATGTAAACCTCTCTGTTAATTTCATCCTTGAAAAAGTCTGTATTTCTGTATAAGGGGAGGATGCCTATGAAAAGAAGTTGAAGAAAGTAAGAGATAATCTGTTGAGGCTGTGATTGTTATATAGGAAGAGATATAAACTGAAGCAGAACATAGTGGGAACATAAAGGACTCTAAAATGTATCGTAATTATTACAAAGAGCTAGGAAACAATTCCAGGTTTCTGTCAAACTAATCTACTTAATGGTCAAGAAGAACTAATCCAGCATCTGCAAAAAACTTTCAGTTTGGTGGCATCTGTCATATTTTCCCAGGAAAAGTATAAACCAGGTCTGACGATATTGGTTCCACTGTTGCAGATAGTTAGGGAACGGCGGCCGGAAGATATCGTGCTGTACGGAAAGATAGGGCCCCTAATAGCCAATAGTGTTTAGTCTATGGTGTAAGCAGACGGATGTGACGTTGTAAACCTAGCTATATAACACCTTGTTACCCATCAATAAACGCCATTTGCCGTCCACCACATTGGTGTCAACTAGCTGAT